TGAAAGATGACATAGACAAGAGCAATGCAAGACAATTAAGACATCAACCATCAGCATAGTAATGTTTTGCCTCAGCCTGAGCAAAGAGCAGCATCTCTTCCTATATTCCACATACCCCACAGGCCTTGCACTCAGGACCACCAGCTCCAAAACCGTGACTGTGACTTCCAGCTCAGAACATTTCCTGGCTATATTAATTAATAAAGAACAGACCACCTCACCCTTCATCAAGGCCAGRTAAAACTGCAACTCTGAAGGAGAACCTGTTAACTAGTCCAGCACACTGTACTCAAAAGTAGGCTAAAGCTACAGAAGCAGCTGAGAATTTGTCACCAGAGGAGCTTTGTGAATTGCCAAGGTAATTTTATCGCAGATGTTAACAATGTTTGGTACACAAGGTGAAGGCAGCACTGTTAGTTCAGCAGGGGGGTCAGGACTGAATAGCTTTTAGTTTCAAAAGTCCTGGTTTAACAGCAGCAGGAGGGGCAGATATAATCCAGCTATAGGAACTGGATTTCCAGTTGCAATACAAGACACATGCACCACATCAGCAGTTTATGGAAAAAGCTGCTTGGATGCATTCAAGGTACACTCTTCAAAGCAYGTAGACTGCTGAATGCCTGTTCAGTATTAATGTGCATATCCTAACCTGAGGCTGGGTTTGAAAACACGTGTAAAAAAGCATAAAGGAGACTCACCACRGYGCAGCTGAAGAGTYTGAATTTTAACTATTACCAAAACAMTAGCTGTGCACACCTCCTCTCAYTTTAATGAGCCACACACAAAAATCCTAGAAAACCCRTCTGCAGCACCACTGCTTACCAAACATTGCACCTCTTTTCTGAGTTACCAGCTAAGCTCAATTCAACACAAAAAGGGAGTGAAACTCACTTCTGAAGTACCCCACTAAATAAAATCCTTTAGCTTCTCTAGGATGTAGGAGAATTACATGAAGGCTTCCAAAAAGCTTTCTCTAATCACGAAGCAATAAAGTGATCCATGTGATCTCCACTGCTTATTTAAAAATTTTTAAATAAATAAAAAGAAGACATGCTCTGTGACCCAAACCACAGACCATCTCTCAGACTGCCTGCAGCAGTTACTACAATGTACCCAGCTTCTGAAAGTCATCACTAGAAGGCTTCAGTCACTCACATCTCAAGCATGGCAACATTAGCTTTTAACACATGGCTTCTGGCATGCTTTAAGGAAATATTTATGCGTGTTGTATTTGACCTACATGAATTAAAAGGGTTTTCAAATACCATGAGAGATTTAGTACTTAAAAAAAAATAAAGTCAGTGAACTGCCAGAACACCAGACAAGCCTTAGGGGTTCTTCTATTCTGGAACCAACACACTGCACATCTCTACTCAGAACGTGGCCAAACTGGAAAGAATTTCCCATCCTGAAGATGGGCACAGGATTCTGTAATCCCTTTAATCACTATCCCAGTGCAGAACCAAGAAAGCTGAGAGATTCCTGCAACTAGTTTCTRTCATTGCCTAACTGACACCCACGCGGGTGACTGGTGAGTGCACTGGGAAAAGTGGCCCGGAGATGCCTATSCAGCAGGACAAACATGACCCCACGGGAAATGGAAGGGCACCCACCAAACCCAACAGCTCTTCCTATTTCTCAGCTGCATTCCTTTTAGGCAGCAGTCACCAAAACATTTAGCAGACAGCCTCTGATTATTTACTGTTAAGTAAGTGAGAAGTCAGGGTTTACRTGGTCAGGAGTTGGTTTTATGGGTGACTACATTCAGTTATATCCTACCTTGGACAAGGCTCAGTTATTTTTTCATCTCCAAGCTAAGGACTCACCGAATTTAATTAATACCACCACAATTAAATAYCACCACTCTCCCCACACCACCCTTTGACAAACCACCTTCTCTCCATATCAGTTATCTCATCCACACCCTGTGTTTYGCATTTATGTTTAAGTAGGACCCTGGGGGTTATTTTGGTGGGTTTTTTTGGGTTTTTTTTTGCTTGACCACTCAGAGCTGGCCCAGAGCCCTCACCTTGCAGCAGGGTTCTGCTATCTGCACGTCAGTTCTCTGTGATGGAAGTGGCTGATATTCCTACGTGCTGGATCCCAAGCGAGTGCTGAAACGGTGCACTCCCCACAAGCCATGGGAACAGCTTCCCTGAAATGAAACAGATTATCAGCAAAATAGAGAGAATCAAGTTCACAGAGGGGCACGTAAAAGCTCAGTAAACAATATCTCAGAAGCAAGAAACAACTCAGAGGGTCACTGGGAACCCTCTAACATCAACAAGAGACATGCTGATACCTAGAAAGATGGCAAGAATACTGGAAGCCAAGTAAAACTCTTAGCAGGAAGGAATTTCCAGCATCTGTTATTCTAACAGAAGTTACCAAAAAGCAGGAGTTGCATACCCAGCCAAAAGACATGCTGAATACTAATATCCTAAGTTTAAACAGGTAGAGACAGAATAACAAATCATTGTCAGATGCGGAAAGGGATGACTTTACTGCTTATTTTCTAGTCTTAACAGCTTATTTCACTTTAAAAGTTACCATCAGGWGTATCAGAAAGCGTAGCTCACACTCCTAACGGCTCCAGATTCATGCAACTGTCCCCTTCTCTCACAACATGTATCTCGCTGAAGGGGCAGCAGTTTAGCACCATCAACAAAAATTACAACAGGGTTGGGTTTTTTTTTTCCCTTGCTTCCTGCATGTCAGCACGGGGCATGGGAAAAGAGGCAAGGGAGCAGATCCTTGGAGGGATCTCTGAAGCATCCAGCCTCCCAGCCATGTAGGAGAGGACTGCGGAACATCCRAGASCATTGTRTCAACAACAGGGAGAARTGAAAAAGAACAGACATCATTAGGWGAAAGTCCAAYCCCATAATGGTGGAGATATCCGAGGGTACATTCATCTTGATCCCGAACTTATCATTCGGGCTGACAGATTCTGAAGCAACACCCTGCAAACCAAAGCTATTGCATTTTAGCTGTACCACAGTGCCGCAAAGGCAGCACTAGGAGGAGAGGACTCTCTGACCTTCTCCCCGCTCCAGGCAATGGGCACCAGCCCCAATCCAGCACACCTCGGCACCAGCCCCGCCACTCCACCGTGGCTTTCTGGACACAAAAACATCCTCTKGCAGATATAAATAAACCCCACCGCGCTTCCGTCCGCAGGTAACGAACAGCGGCGTCCTCCCCTCGCCGGGGGAACACCGCGCACACCCCGGCCCTTCCTCGCCCCACAGACGGGCCGGGGACCCCCCCCTGCCCGGGCGGTGTAAGGGCAGGGACGGCGGCACACGGAGGAATCGAATCGCTGCCCAATTACTCAGCAAATCCTCCCCGCCTGCCGCCCCCGAACCCCTTCAGTCGCCCTCCCCCCCCCCCCCGACTCGGCGTCCCACCCCATCCCCGCCGGGACATCACCCCACCGGGGGACACATCCCCACAGCCCGCCCGCACCAAGAGGGACGCGCGGCACACCCACCTGCCCGCCGCGGCCGTGAGGGGAGCCCGCCGCACCCACCTGCCCGCRGCCCCCACCCTCCCTCACGCCGCTCCAACGCCTTTTGTCCGCCCTGTCCGCAGCGGCCCCGCCCCGGATCTGACCTCACCTGGCYGGCACTGCCACCATCGCCCCGTCCCGCCGCCATCTTGGGGGCGGGCACGGCGACACGGGYGCGACGCCATCTTTGTGCAGGGCGCGCTCTATACGGGGTGGGCGGGAAGAGGAGGGGGATCGTGAGGGCGGCAGCGCCATCTTGGTGCCGGGCAGCGCGCAAAATGGCGACAGATTTAAAGGCGCCGAGGCTTCCCCAGCCTGGGCTGAGCGCCTTCAGTTGCTATGATTTTTGTGGTGCCTAAAAAGAGTGATTCATTGGTATTTTTTTTATTTGTCTGACGCAATGGAGGGCACTGGGCAGCATAATTTCTTTTTAAACTCATAAAGGRTGGTTCAAAGGCATTTGTTGGGTTTTATTAGTGTACAAGAGGCAGTTCTGAGTGGTTAAGTGCAGCCAATTTTAACATGTATACACCAGTGATGCCTGTAATCGTGAAATATCTCTGTAAAAAGTACATCTGCGGCTTTCTAGGAATATCATAAAGTCGGTAGAGAAGGAGACAAAGCAAGGGGAAAAAATGCCACTGAGCCATTCGTGGGCTCAGGGTGTGATGTGAACATTTTTACAGAAGCAAACACAAGTTTCCTTTCCATCTGTTTATTTCAGWGTTTGAGTTAAACAGAAGTTTAGAAAACAGAGTTTTCCTCTCCCTGCACAGACATTCCCTCTGGCTTAGTCACCTCAGGGAAGTCACCAGTCCAGCTGGGGTCGGGAACCTTTGGCACAGCGGATGCAGCCACTTCCCTTCCCCATGGCTCACTTTTTCCTGCTGTGAAAGGAGACAAATTACTCACTCAGGAGACCKACTCGACCTGACTCATCGGTGCAGGTAAAGCCTTGTCACGAAAGGAAGAGGGAAGCAAGGGCAATTTTTTCTCTACGCCTCACACTGATGTTGGGTTCAGCTCCTGCATCCCTGCACYGAAATCCCCTCAGAGGCTGCTGTCCCTGCCCACCCACAGCCCAGGAGTCCGACAATGCTGCAGGATCTGCTTTAGATTGTGTCGTGACATAAGTTTTTACTCTCTGATGGACCTTACACTTATCCCTTCCCTTCTCTAAAAACATTAAGTCTGCGGAATGAAATTTCGGAGGGGGTTTCGACTTACAAATTCATTTTTCAAAATGACCGGAGGCTTCACTCAAAGAGAAATTCCCCACCATCGCCCAGTGAGAGTATTTACAGCCAAAACACAAAGATTATCCCGCTATAGTTACGCCAGCATGCGCTTCCACGCTGGGATATTTCCCCGGGCAGCCGAACCCCGCCGAGCCCACAGAGCCTTTTCCCGGTGTGTTTTTGCCCAGCAGGGCTGTATCTCCTCCAGCCCTGCCTTCTGCGGCCTCTGCGGCTCCTCCCAGGAAGTCCCAGCCGCAGATGAAGCCTTTCGGGCAGAGGAGAAGGCAGGATGTTTGCCAGGGCAGTCTGGGCGGCTGTGCCCGACTTTGCAGCGTAAAAGCAGCGCGGCCCAGCCCGATGTAAGTTGTTTTTGTCCCCGCTGTCCCTCTGGCAGCTGCTTTGTCCCCAGTGTCAGCTCCTGCTGGCGCTGCTGCTGGGCTTGCCGTGTTCCCGCCCCGGTCCAGCACCGTCCTGGGGCACATCCAGGGACACCCGTGTCCCCAAAGCCTCTCGGGTGCACCCCCGAGCTGCCACGGGGATGCTTGGGGAGCATCGGGATGGAAGAGAAGGCTGCGACCTGCGGGCTGGAGGGGAGGAGGTGGTGAGTGACCAGTCCCCGAGGTGACCTTTCAGTGGTCACCTCTGAAATCCTCTACTCGGGCCACTGCACCCTTGCGGAGTCCCAGACAGCTGCTCCCTGGTGCTGCTCCCCCCAGCCCTGCGCACAGTTGTTACACAGCTCTGTAGTTTGCCGCAATCTGATAAAGCCTTTTTTACTGCCACACTTTGATTCTGCCGCCTGCAGGGTTGGTCCCCGCGTTCCAGGACTCATTTGCTTTGCACCTCAAAGCAGTGTCCCCCCACATCTCTGTGCCTGTCTTTACCGTGCAGCTGTGCCACACGCAGTKGATATGATACTCTGACTTCCCATTTTTCCATAAATTGTGTTGTTTTATTCCGCGTGGCAAACATGTAAATCCCCACTGGTCTCAGCCTGGCAGCTGCTTTGCGCTTTCGATAGAAAAGTGCACTGCAGACAGTGCACACTCACATCCTACATATAAGGATGGAARGTCCACCCAGGGGTACTAAAAACTTAACCTGTGGGCTGATCAGCTTCAAACCTGTTTTAAATAATTTTTTGGCAGATAGGTAGATTAATCTATGGCTGGTCAAAATAAAGGAGCTTGCATCCTCCAGCTTCACTGCTTTTATCTCAAGTACTTAACAAAAAATTCACTTATTTTAGGTTAAATACTGCATGTTTAAGTAATTCCGTAGTATAGCTGAAAGAACCTATGGTGATGGAATAGACTGCATTAGACACAGAAATTAATTTGTTTGGGGACTTGAAGGAAAGATAATCATGAAAATCACTTTAGAGATAGAAGGTGACATTCTGTTAATCAGAATAAAACTTGTGACTAAACCGGATTGCAGCAGCTGAGAGGTTAGAGACTCTCCCTGTGGGCCAGGAAGGTGAAGGTGCTGCAGGAGAGGAAAGGCAGAGGCAAGAGTTTCCTGGGATCAATGACACAAGATGGGGAGCTGATGCTGAGTACCAAATTCACAGAGGAAGCCCTCTCACTCGTGTCCATACTGCTTCCCTCAGTGCAGAGTAAACTGGGATGTGCCAGGATTGGGGGAGAGAAGGCAGAACTTATGGTTGCCCTTGTGATCCTGATTGTATGTGTCACGGGCACAAAGTACAGCCCCAGCAGTTTCACATTGCAGTGAGAACATACAAAGCAGCTCATTTTGCCTTTTCCTTTCTGTGGCAGAACAACCATGGCTTTGGCTCTGGACCTGCCCTATTCCAGGCACACATTTGCTTTAATCCTGTGAAGCAACTGACTCAGCCCTCTCCTTTGTCTCTGGGGAATTGCAGGTCTGTGCCTGTAGGAGAGAGACAACAGGAGCCGTGGCATGCTCAGGAGGACAGCACCATYCCTGCGTCACTTCTTGCTGGAGAGGAACAGCAGTGCTGGACATAGCTCGTGCTCCAGAGAGGTATGGAATACCCAGTGGRTCTGTTCCTGCCTGGCAGCCTGCCCAGGGCAGCTCACCTTGGCAGCAAGAGCAGAGCACATCAGGAAAAGCCACTTTGGTGCAACTTCCTCTGTACCTGCTTATTTGCAGGGAGCCTGTTTAAAGGATCCTCATAAGGGAATAGCCTTTGTAGAGGAGAAAGCTCCTTGGTTGCTTCATCTGATGGTCTTTACTAGAGCTTTACTTGGCTTGCAAAGTACTTGGGAAATATCAGGATCCCACTGGGAGATCCCAACATGCAGAGCAGGGGCAGGCAGTCAGTGATGGAACGTTGTGGATGCCAAGCTTTTCGGCATTGACACCCAGCTCTCCTGTGTGGCTGCCAGGCAAACTGCCTCTGGGGAAACACATCCTTCTGTCTGGGGACCAGAACAGGCCRAAACAGATTTGAGAGCTTCATGGTCCTGAGCCTGTGTTGCTCTCCRTGGCACCATCCTGCTGGGGATAGGATGGGATGGAGGGGACATGGGAAAAAGGAAGTATTTGTTATTTCTGTTCCTGAAGCAAGCAAGGCCTTTCTTCAGAATGGGTAATTTCAAGGCTTAAGGCATCTTCTTCCTACCAATYCCCATCACACTTGATCATCTGTTAAATTCTCTGACCTATGGCCTGGAGCAGCCCCACCTCACAAGARCAATGCTGGAGTTGTTAATATTTCACCTCCAGCTATCTTTTACTTCCCAAGCCACAAATCCTTCTGCTCCCACCCAAACCAGCTCTTGTGACTGTGACAGTCATGAGCTTATGCAGAAAGAGCAAAGCTGGGCTGAGAGAGAGGAGAGAGGCTGCCCTGGACCCTGTGACTTCTGCTCGCCCTTGGCTACCTGCCTGGCACCGTGGTGGAGCAGAGTCCACCTGGTGGACTCGCCCTCTGAAACACAGAACTCCTCAGCAGAGTGTTTGCAAAGATCCCTGGTAAGGTCTGAAGCTAAATAAAAATCTAAGGACCTCAATACAAGATATCCTTGCAGTGCTACCCAAATTCCGGCACAGTTCTGTGAAAACAGCAGAGGTTAGCAGGTAAGTGGGGAATTCCCATTGCAGCTGAGCTTGGGGAGGGGCTGCCCTGGTATCCCCCCCACTATCCTGACACGGCAGACCCCCTCATATCCCAGCTCTGCATCTCAGCTCAACTGCTTTCACATGCCTTCCTTGTTCCAGTTCAAATGTATTTTATTTGCTGTGGTGACAATGGTTTCCTTGACTCGTTGCTTCAGGGCTGCCCTCCTCCTGCCCTGGCGCTGGCTCTTCATGGTGCACTGAGCATTAATTGTCTCCATTTGCCAGYCCCTTTTCTGTCTGGGTACCTTTTCCCTGCACTGCTGAGTTATTAAATTCTGCCTCTGCCGCTTTTCATCATCCTCGTGATGAATTCCCCGTCAAGCACATCTAACTTTCTCCCACTGTGCTTATCCAGCTGGAAGGAGGGTTTTGCATTCAGGGTTTCCTACTGTCTTTCTTCCCACTCCCCTGGGCCATGATGTACATGGAAATTACAAACCAGTCACGGCATGGTACCTCAGTATCTCTGCACTTCTCACTGACCTCTGTGCTCTGCTCTCTCGTCTGTGCCCAGTTCCTGCTTGGTTTTGACATGAACTTTAAATAAAACCCCAGCACATTTTATAGGATCAAGCCCCCTCACCAAGCACTTCATCAGGACAGAAGAGTAACTACTTCTGGTACTTCACAGAGCAGCATGGAACAAAATAGTTTGTTCTTCTAGGAAAAGGGGGGATTTCATGGCTTGTAGAGTAAGGAGGTCCTTCCCATGAATGATAAGGAGAGGGTATGGAAGATAAAAGCCTGAGGTCTGGAGTCCTTGGCAGCCTGGCCAAGCTTGATCCCATGACTAATACCACCAGGTAATGAGGTTTAAGACATTCCCATCTCCATTTGTGAGTGTACAAATGTTTCTTTTGTTCATCTCTTTCCCCAATTCTTGTTGAAACTTGTAAGTGAAAGCAGAAACCACTGCAATAGCATTACTGCTCTATGTCAGGAACATGGAGCAATACTRAAGGGCACACCTTCTGTTGGGAAAAATTTCCCTGAGGAGGTGACAGCCCCTTTGTGTGGCCTCACTGACATGAGTAAAAGCTTCAAACTCACTCTCTTTTCTCTCTCTCTGCAGGCAAAAATGTCAAGGCCAGTGCAAGCTCGGAGGCTGGAGGGAATAGATAAAAATATCTGGTGAGTTAAGAGAATATCTGATTCACCCAGGTGGTAGATGTGGTTTTAGGCAGCCTAAAACCACAGCAGCCACCCAGCACAGAGCAGAAGTCTCCCTTGGCTGCTTTGCATGTGTTCAGAAAGCGCATCAGGGCAATGAGCTGGCTCTTGTTTGGTTTGGGATGAGCAGCAAGTTCAGCCTGCCTTACCCTCTGCAGAGGCCTTCACAGTTCTCACTGTTAAATTTTGCTGAGCTGGTGTGAGCTTGAAAGCCTCCAAGTCCTCTCCTGCTCAGTCCAGTGTGATYAGAAGCACTGTGGGGCTTTGGCTGTGACCACGCACTGACCACAGGAGCTGTTTCCTAGGAGAATAAATTAAAATTATTCCCCCAGTGCAATAGTTCATCATCCTTGGTTTAATTGCAACAGGTCTGAAATGACCTGTGCTCAGTCCTGCCTGCCTGTGAGCAGTGGGAGAGGGACACCAACCCCACTCCCTTCCAAAGGGATGCTGCAAGCAGGGCTGGTGCCAGCACACTGCTCAGATTGTCTGAAAGTGCTTTTCTTTCCCTTCTCTCCAGGGTGGAGTTTGTAAAACTGGCTACTACCTACTCCAAGGTGAACCTGGGCCAGGGCTTCCCTGACTTCCCTGCACCAGACTTCCTGACGGAGGCATTGACGAGAGTCGTCRGCGGGGGGAACCACATGCTGCACCAGTACACCCGTGCCTTTGTGCGTGGACAAATCTCTCTCCCCTGCATTACCCTCTCACTCCCCATCAGCACTGGCTGCTTCAGGGCTCATCAGGCAGCAATAAACTGGAAAAAACAGGAGGCAAAATACATATCCAGCCTCAATTCGTGACCACTGTTCCCAGGGCTGTAACTCCCTGCTTTACTGGGGTATTTGAAGCAGCCAGGCTGGAAGCTGCCTCATGGGGTTCTTGGTTTTCTAGGCCTCCTCCAAGGGTTCATCTTTGGTTTAGGAGTCTTCTGCAACCCAATTCTCACCCTCCTCTCACCCCACAGGGCCACCCACCTCTGGTGAAGGCCCTAGCCCAGCTTTTTGAGAAGTTGCTTGGACGAGAMCTGGATCCTATGACCAATGTGATGGTGACAGTGGGGGCATACCAGGCCCTSTTCTGCTGCTTCCAGGCTTTAGTGGATGAAGGTGATGAGGTAACCAAGATTTGGGCTTGTTGCTCTAGTGGGCAGCCTTCCCTCAGGGGACCTGCAGGCTGATTCTCATTGTCCTTTGCCAAAGTAAAAACAGTTTTACCCCCATTCTGCAGTACTTGAGAAGAAATTACCTGCTGCAGGGCACTGCCTCATTTCTGCATAAAACAAAATAACCCTTTTTGTCCTGAATGGATGATGTCCTTCTCTGACAATGTCCASAGGCAGTGCAGGTTCTCCTTTACAGTAATTCAGGGATTAAAATGTCTCTCCCATTGCTCTCTGCACACCTCAGAGAAGGTCTGAACAGGACCAGGATGGTGCTGACATGTCCCTTTCTTCCAGGTGATAATCATTGAGCCCTTCTTCGACTGCTATGAGCCAATGGTGAAAATGGCTGGTGGGACACCTGTGTTTGTTCCTCTGAGACCGGTGAGTGGGTGGWGGAGGGAAGAGTCACAACAAAGTCAGCAAAGAGATGAGTGGTGAACAAAGTGCAGAGGTAGCAAAGCAAACCTRGATTCCCCTGTGCTTTCTCTAGAATCCTCCAAAAGATGGAAAATTGATGTCTAGTGCAGACTGGCAGCTGGACCCAACTGAACTAGCTTCTAAATTCAGTGAACGGACAAAAGCCATMGTCCTGAACTCACCCAACAACCCTCTGGGCAAGGTAATGCCTCTGGCCATGCTGGGCCCTGAAAGCTGTTGGGGTGCTGCAGCCACATTTGCTGTGCAACAGTGACTTGACTTTCCTTGCACACAAGGGAAGTGGGTGTTGTGGGGGTACCACATGCTATGGTCACTCTTCTGGTGTTTCAGCCTCGTTTTCTGTCGTCAGCAGTGCTTATGCCCTGTTAAGACTGCAGCTGGTTCCTGCCCACTCTGGCATGGGAGATTAGTGCCTGCAGGGTATACAACCTGCAGGGACAAGCAGGGGCTCAGAAATGCTCCTGCTGTATCTCTGCCCCACTCTGTGCCTGCTGCAGGTGTTCAGCCGTGAGGAGCTGGGGCTGATTGCAGAGCTGTGTGTGAAGCACGACGTGCTGTGCATCAGTGATGAGGTGTATGAGTGGCTGGTCTACGATGGGAAGCAGCACATCCGCATCGGTACGGGGCAGGGCAGGGCTGGGCCTGGGGAGCTGCTCAGGGCAGGGAATGGGGATTTCACGGGTCCCCTGGAAATCCTGTGGGCTACCTGCGTGCACAAATCCCCACTGGAGGTATTTTTCTGCACTTCAATCTGGGCCTCCAAAGCAAGGCTTAAACAGAAGTGCTGACTTCAGAGCCAGTCTGAGGGCAGATCTAAAGCAAAAAGCCCCTTGGCTCCAGTGAAAGTGATTTTTTTTCCCGTGCTTTGTAAAGCCACAGTTTTCTGAGTGTCTGTAGTTTCAGGAAATCCATTTCAACACGATTTCACCCTGTTCTTCCAGTTGCAGTAACATGCCATCACTTTGATTCAGGGTGATGGTGCTTGGCACCTCCAGGAGCCCCTGGGGCTGGGTATGTGCCTGTGAAAATGTTTAATTTAAAATGGATGCTCTTGAGAAACCTGGCTGCCTGCTCAGAATGTGCTTTGAGGCTCATCCAGGTGAATGATGTGCTGGGAACACAAAAGATCAGTGGGTTATGGTGGGCAGAGAGCTTGCACTGTGCCATTAATGCAGCCCAGAAATGAGTTTGCTGAGCTCTGCCATTRGGGTTTCTCTCCTTTCATTGCCAGCCAGCTTGCAAGGGATGTGGGACCGCACGGTGATCGTTGGGAGTGCTGGGAAGACCTTCAGTGCCACTGGATGGAAGGTGAATACCCCATGTGGCACATCCTTGTGTCCCCATCGCTGTCYCTTTGTCATGGCATGGCACTGGGGATTTGTGGCCACAATGAGTTTTGAGCCTTGGGGTCTAAAATTACCCAAGGTGCTTTTATGAAASCTCTGTCTGGAAAAATACAATGAAACCAGCACAGGCAAAGAAGGGAGCCTGAGCAGGTACCCAGASACTCAGCACCTTCTTCCTCTTCTGRCTGCAGGTGGGCTGGGTAGTGGGACCCGACAGGCTGCTGCAGCACCTCCGTACCGTGCACCAGAACTCAGTGTACCACTGTGCCACAATTGCCCAGGTAAGGCAGCTCCTGCACCTGGCCCTGCAATTCCCAAACCCCCAGAGCAGGGGCAGGAGATGGTCATCTTGCCCACAGCTGACCTGAAAGGCGCACACAAGTGATAGAGGTGCCCTGGAGAGGCGCCTTCCTCTCTCCTTATGGTTGCTCTGTGTGTGGGAGAAAGAGGAGAGTCCAGCCTGCCTGGGRTATATTCCTTATCTTGCATTGACAAATCTAAGGGGCCTTTTGGAGGGGCTGGAGAAAGAAAGAAAGCCCGCCCTGACCATCTTCCCACTGGGCATTGGCTTCTCTCTCCTTGCAGGAGGCCGTGGCTCAGGGTTTCCAGAGGGAGCTCACACTCTACGGAAAACCRGAGAGCTACTTTGTCCAGTTGCCCAAAGAGCTGCAGCGGAAGAGAGACTGGCTGATCCAGAGCCTGAATGCTGTGGGGATGAAACCCATCATCCCTGAGGGCACCTATTTTCTGGTGGCAGACATCTCCCCGTTCAGTGAGTCACCTGCAGTCCTGCCCAGGTGGGCTGGGTGTGGGGGCCAGCTTGGAGTGGTACCACTGGCAGGGACAAGAATTTGCCATCAAAGCAGGGATAGACAGCATGTTCCCCATCCTAAGGATGTGGGTTTGGAGCTTGGCTGAGGCACCCAGCAGCTGCTCCAGCTTCTGCCCTGCTGCATTTCTCCTGCAGAATCGGATGTTCCTGATGTCCCCAACTCAGATGAGCCCTATGAYTACAGATTTGTAAAGTGGATGGTCAAGAACAAGGTAAATGTGTCTGGCCCTTTCTGCTGCCTTTGCCCCGGATGGGTTTGTGCCCACAAATGCTTGCTGTGCCCACCAGAGCCAGCAGCTCATGGCCAGTGGGCCTGGAGTGGAGGGCTCGTGCCCYCACACTGGGGCACAGCAGGCTGCAGGCCAGCCCCAGAGCAGGAACCTCAACTCCATGTGCTTCCTTTTCCCAGGGACTTGCTGCCATCCCACTCTCAGCTTTCTACAGCGAGGCCCACAAGAACAACTACACCAATTTCATCCGGTTCTGCTTTGCAAAGGTGAGATACGTGGCAGCACAAAGGCAGGCAAGGTTGGGAGGAATAAGTAATTTAATGAGATAAATGCCAAGAAGAAATKCAGGATGCCTTGGGCTTTGGGGCTCAAGCATGGCGTCTCTGCTGGAGCTCCTGCAGAGATGTGAGCTGAGCTGGGGGCAGCAGATGTGTCAGGGCCATGCTAAACTGTGTCCTGCATTCCCTGGCCAAGGCAGGGACTCTCTGGGTGCCCCTTGAGCTGCTCAGTGGCTGTACCTGCCCCAGAGATGGCTGTGCCTGCCCCAGAGATGGCTGTGCCTGCCCCAGAGATGGCTGTGCCTACCTCATACCAAACCTGCAATGCTCCTGAATGAGAACAGGGTTTTGTATGAATAGTGGTTGCAGTGAGGGGAAATGGGATTTGGCTGGGAGCCACTGACCAAACCTGTGGTATTTGTTTAGGAGGACACTACACTGAAAGCAGCAAATGACATATTGCAAAAATGGAAACAGGAGAAAACCAGCTCCTGAGTGCACTGGCCAGCGAGAGAACCAAGCTCTCCTTGGTCCTCGTCTGCCCCAACTGCTCTTCCTCTCCTTCACTTGTCTACAAACTTTGATATRTTCTTACTTCTGTGCTTCCAACATTTTCTGTCAGACAAACATTAAGAGCTTTTCTAGGCCCAAGCCCTGGGGGATGCTTTCAGTCACTGACTGTGAAATGATTGCAAGAAGTGAGACTTTGTGTGCACTGACAGTATTTAACATTTCTTACACTTAAAGACTTTGCTAATCAGTTCTGGGATGCATCCAGGAACACACAAGGTAAGGATGGCTCCTGGGGTCTGTCTCACCACCAAATTCTGAAAAGGTTTTTCAGGACCTACCTTTAAGACCGTGCTGGAAGGTCAGTGTGCTTTCCTTGCTCCACATCCCCACTCAGGCCACAGGGCAGCATTTCTGCCAGCACCCATGTTCCCACAGGACTGGACACTATCACCAGCCATCAGTAGGGTGACTCCTATGATCCTGATGATTGGAAACCCAGTGAAATGACATTTCCTATAATTTTCCCACTATTTTTTTCTGTGCATCTCTGGGGAAGATTGATCTCCCCACCAGGAAACAGGATTTCACCAATAGCTTGGCCACTGTCAAACCTTCCAGATTATTCCTGGCACGTTGTCAGGGCTTGTGGCAGCATCATCCAGGCTGCAGAGCAAAACCTTCCAGCCTTTGACAAGTGCACACAGTGGCAGAGGAGGGTGGGCACTGTGGCCTCAGGCTGCTCCTGCTGCTGGTAGCCCCCAGCCTCCCACCCACTGGGCTGGTGGGGTAATAGGAGCAGTGTTTGAGAGGTAATTCTTGCATCAGTCTCAGTTTCAGCCTGGATAAGTGTGTAAGACATCATCATCAACCACRCAGGAGTTACATGCAACAGACTGTGTAATGAGTTTTGTAGTAGTTAAATTATTAAAGTGGAATTGCTGAAATGATGGAAGAGTGAATGTCTCTGTAATGACTATAGGACTAATGGAGGTCTCATTGAGAGCTGCCTCACCTGTGCTGGGTCCTGTAGCAGTGGCTGCTTATCCCACTCAGGCTGTGGGGAGCAGCATATTGGTCTGCAAGCTTGTACCTGCTTGGGTACCAATCCCCTTGGAACCAGAGCTGCGAGGGCCAGCAGGAGGGAGAGAGGGAAGGAGGCAAACACCCACCTGCCTTCACTGCTGTCCCATCTCACCTGCTTGCACAGCCTGGGTGACTGAGGGTGCKGCTGAAAGCCTTTCTGCACCTATATATGTGCCAAAAATGGGGAGTGTCACAATTACTGAAACAGAGAAAGAACCGTGCAATGATATTGTTAACATGAAGATTAATTGCAACATCCCCGCATGCGTGGGCTCTTACCTGGGCCATGACACATCCTGCAAAGGGCAGGGTGCATCTACCCATTGTCCAGAAAGCATGCAGGGCTTGTGCTAAGACACGCATACGCAGGTGCCCAGATTTTACACAYACACGCCCAGATCAGGCCAGTGAATCTTCCCTGGAGCACCGGGCTGCACCAAGCGTTCCTCCATAAGAGGTCACCCATCCTCCCGCGGAACGCGACCGACCCTGCTTAGCTCCGCTGCCCCGCGGGCCGCKCAAACGCCGACCACGTGACCCGCCAGGCTCCTCCCCGCCGTGGGCGGTGCCAGCGCCATCCGACCAATCAGCAGCGCGGGGGCGTGGCCGGGAGCGCGGGGAAGATGGCGGACACCGAGAGCAGCGTGGGGAAGCGGCCCAAAGGAGCGCAGGTGGGCGGGGGGGCCCCGGGTCCGGCCGGTGCCT